ACAAAGGCGACCTGGCGTGTGTCTGGCCACACCACTCCCTCGTGTCCCGCTCCGATCGGTGCGTGCTACAACAGTTGCCCCAGCAGTCTGTTAAGGCGATCCGGGGGATATTTGTATTTGTTTGTTGCATCTAAAACATTATTGATCACGCACGCATCCCGGTAGCGCAATCCACACAACGGAAGAAGTTATATTAGCGCAGTCTTTTTGGTGTTCCGACCCCGATTTTTCCTTTCAGGAAATCGTTTGACTTGATCAACCGGGCCCGAGTTTGTCTCGAACGACTCCTTTAACAGCAACGCAGCTTCACAGTGAAGTTGCGTTCGTATCGGGCCAACTTCACGCGCGCTATCGCGAGCCTCTGTGCCCGTTCCAGACGGACAGCGCGATCACGCCGCACTCCCCTCAAGCGCCAGGACACGATTTGTACCAATTCGCGTCGTTGCCTCCGGCTGCAAAAACCCTCGCGGTGCCATCGCCGACACGCACAGAACGACGCCAAAGGCGTCGCCCCGCCATCGTGCGCTCCCGTGACTGCTCGCGGACTAAGGGGCCGCTCCACTCGACCGGGCGATCTCCCGTGATCATCTTTGGTCGACACTTCCAACGTGGAAGAGGTGGTGGTTACCCACACTTCACCAGCCTGCACTGTATTTCATTTGAAGAAGTGTTGACCTCTCTCTCTGGAGTTATAATTTCGTTCTCAAACACCGGTTCGTACCGCCTATTCGTAAGCATGATTTCGTTAGCCGTAAAATCAAAGACTTTACAAGTCAGCGAATTAAATGAAGATTTGCATATTTAAACCGGCCGCACGCCAGCGGTGCACAAGGACGGTCAACAGAAACAACTCAAAACGTTCCTCAGTAACATTGCCCCACTCTAGAGGAAAGCAACACACAAGAGGCGACGTTTCGGGCAATAACCCTTTTTTTCACATCGCAGGAATATTAGTACGAGTGTAGAAGATCGCTCTGTGTTGTTGAAGGTTGCGATGCAAGCGAATGGCATAGCGGCCTGGCCCACATCTACGCAAACAGGTGTGCAACTCGATTGTAAGCAGTTGAATCGATCGTCCGTCTCTACTCACGCTGGGAGTAGAGACTCAACCCTCAAGCATCGAGCAGCTCGGCGACCCGTGGCGACTTGCCGCAACGCGCGCTGTGGCAAACGTTGAATTCGCGTTTTCATTTAACTTGTGCGCAACTAGTGGCTCAGATTGTGGGACAAAGCAGTCGCGGGCGATGATAATTAATTATTATTGATCGCTCAGGTGATGGGACCCGATTCGATGCCGTGTCTACTCGACGAAGCGACCCAACAATCGTTTGCGAATATTATCTGATGGATTAATCCTGGCCATGAGATATCTCCACGCTCTCAAAGTGTGCGTCTCAAGAAGTGCGTCTCAAGAAGTGCGTCTCCAGAAGTGCGTCTCCAGAAGTGCGTCTCAAGCCGCATCGCCACGAGGAGGCCAGCCGCAGAGCCTCTCGGGTAATCTGAGATCGAACGCGAGACATTCCGCCTGCTTGACGTCGCAATTTTCCCTGTGTCGCGTAATCATCCAATTTGAATTAAAGCAATAATCACTACACTGTCTAATCTTGATTTGAAGCTTTCGTGACTGCAGGAATCCATACTCTTTAGTTCTTTCGGTAAAGTATTATGCCAAGTAATGGTCTCGCTACAATTTTTGTCACAAGACCCCTCCACCACCCGACTTGGCCGAACAAATGACATTGTCACGCGCAGATCGTTCACGAGTGGCATGTTTGCTCTTCCCACGCCGACACCGCAAGGCGCGCGCGGGTGTGCACTACACGGGGGTGCGTAGGGATACAGCGATCGTCAGCGGTGAGACGCTCTCGCGTAATTACTGGACATGTGTGAAAAAGATCTCCATAGCTCATCGGGTGTGTCCAGGATAAATAAAGATTCTGAGTCTGAATTCGTGAACCGCGAGTCACTCGGTTTGCCGAGTCGCCTTCAACGTGACCGCGCTTACAAATCGCGCAGCACCATCATCATCGTCGCCTCTCGCCGCTTTGTCCACATCGGAGCGAGCAGTTGCGCAAACGAGGAAATCAGGCGGCGGATTGAGGTCGTAACGACCAAACTAAATCGCCCGCGGCGCGCGATGCGACCCGCCGCTTTAACTGGGCGAGCGGATCGCGTGGGAGAGTGGAGTCTGCGCCGCCTCCACTGCGCGCGACGCGTCGTGTTCAGTGACGCCTCAAACATAAGCGACTGATCGCTCCGATGTACCCCGCGCTAAACGCGACAGCCGACACTTGTTGCGACGCGATTCGGCGCGACAGCGCACGACCGTCGCTGCAAGACGAAACCACGCGTTACACACAGGGTCCATAGCCCCCCACCCACACATAGCCCCCCACACAGGGCCCATAGCCCCCCACCCACACATAGCCCCCCGTACAAGGCCCGTGGCCCCCCACCACAGGACAGGGCTTCCGAGTCGATCCATGTCAGCGACAGCAGAAGCCGAGCTGGGGAGCGGGGTCGGGTTTCGAGTCGTCTGGGTGTCACCAGCGAGGCGTGGTCCGTTAAACAAATGCCGCCGGGTTTTGCCGATGTCGTGTACAGTGCACATCTCGCACAGAGACGCACTGGTTTACAACACCCCAGGGTAGGAGGATCATTATTTCGATTAACTCTTAAAATCTATTTCCAATTTTGTATAAACTCGCCTAGGCATATATATAAAGACAAAGACCCCCTCCCCCCGTATTGCGTTTAAGAGACTGTTGGGGCAAGAGCGGTGTGGGAGTAGCCCCTAGTAAGGCCGACAGGGCACACAAGGGGTGGGTAGCCATCGTTACGCAGGACCGCCTTTGTCTCCCCGGTCCCAGGACCGTTTCAGATATTGTATTACTGATATTGGTCGTGAGCACGAATCGAACTCGGGTTTGCCGGGTTCGTGGCGCAGCGCGCAACAGCGACACTACCACGCCCGACACACGCACACGTACGCACACACACACACGCGCACACACACACGCGCACACACACGCGCACACACACACGCGCACACACACACACGTGCACACGCGCACACACACGTACACACACGCACACACACGCGCACACACACGCGCACACACGCACGCACACACACACGCACACACACACGCACACACACACACACGCACACACACACGCGCACACACACACACACACATGCACAAACGCACACACACACGCGCACACACACACACGCGCGAGTGTCTCACCTCGTTACTTTCATCGCTGAGTCCATTCCCCTCTCCTCCTCCTCCTGCTCCTCCTCTTCCCCGTGGCGCCGTGGGCCCGTGGCCACGCGAACTCAGCTGCGGTTCGCGCGACACAAACTCGGAGAGGAAGTTACTCGGCAAGGACGCATTCACACGGAATAAGGCCCCTCGACCGAAACGTCGTTTTCCCTCTCCTCGCGGTGATAGCAAAGCAAATGCGCGCGAGACACACGTCCCACGTGATGGAGATGACGCCCCGCCAGACGTACGTTGAACTTCTTCTGCACCGTACAGAGCCGACCGTGATGATCGCAGGCGTGGGGAAGGACTTCGAAGTCGGCACGCCAAGACGCCCTTGGCACAGCCACAGAAATGGCCCTGCCAGGCCCTTCGTCACGTGTCGGTACTTCTCGAGCTGCTCATTTGTTTCTACATATCGCGTTATTTTAAGACGCGCACGTGTGCATGTGTGTGTATATACATATACACACACATGCACACATTGAGTACCCGGTGCGGTGTGTAAACATTGCCACTAGAGAGACAAAGGCGGTCGGGCGTGGTGCTGGCTACCCACCCCCTCCTGTACCGTTTCGGCCTTCATAGGTGCTCGCTAACAGCACTTGCCCCTACAGTCTGTTAAGGCTATACGGGGGATCTTTGTATTTGTATATCCATATATATATGACAATTTCATTTTGCGCGTGTAGTGTGGTGAGAATTTGTCATCTCATATTTTGTGTATCGAGTCGCCAGTAGATATCGACACAGCACGCATCGTGCGGTCAGTATGTATCTACACAACACGTGTTGAGTAGTCAGTATGTATCTACACAGCACTATCGTGTAGTCAGTATGTATCTACACAGCACTATCGTGTAGTCAGTATGTATCTACACAACACGTGTTGAGTAGTCAGTATGTATCTACACAGTACGTATCGTGTAGTCAGTATGTATCTACACAGCACGTATCGTGTAGTCAGTATGTATCTACATAGCACGTATCGTGTAGTCAGTATGTATCTACACAGCACGTATCGTGTAGTCAGTATGTATCTACACAGCACGTGCCGTGTAGCCAGTATATATCGTGTGGTCAGTATGTATCTACACAACACGTGTGGTCAGTAGGAATATCTACACAGCGCCAATGAGAACGTTCAACCCAGTGAATTCGTCTCTCGCCGTTTCCCATTTCTGGGGAATTCGAGCACAAGCCGAGTCCGCGTCTCTCGGGCGACGGCGGTGGCCGCGATGCCCACGGGAGGACTCATCCCGCCCGCCCGCCCGAGGGAAGGCGACCCGCGCATGGCACGTGCCGTGAAACGTCACCCGTGATATGGGTGTGCGTGTGATGTTGGGGGGAAGTTTCTACAAAAACGTGTTCAATCGCAAAACACTCTTAAGCAATGTAATTTATATCGGGTCCCTGTGGGGTAAAACAAGATCCCAGTCTCCCACTCTCAGTATCCACGCACTCTCTCTCCTGAACCTCATATAAATGTATTCAAGTGCTATGAAGAATTAGGGCTATTGCCCGAAACGTCGCCTGTTTATACGTGTGGCGATCTCCGTGCCGCACACGCGCGTGTGAGACTAGGGGCGCGTTGGCGCGCTTCGATACCCGCGGCGCTGCCGATGTAGCGCGCGGCCACTCGGCGTGACGGCCTCCACGGCAGCGGCACACGCAGACAAACCCCACGTGGACAGGAGAATCGTGGAGACAAAACTCAAAGCAAACGCGATGAATTACAAACTTTTACAAACGGTTTTATTTCTAGATCTCTTCTCTCTCTTCTCTAAAGCGGTGTATATATAACAACGATGCAAAGAGGTCAGTGTGATGTGGTCATTAGTTACAGCAGAAATAGACGATGTTATGTACAAAATTGAGACAGCTTCCAAAAAAATACTACACAAACGAATGTGTATAAGAACACTATTATGAACACTGTAAACCATCTCTCGTGTCCGTTTTTAATCCGTTTTCCACACAAAACAGCCTTTACAAAATATTACACAGCAAAAAAACACACACACGAAATAAAGATCATACAAAATAATAATAAGAATGGTAATAGTAATAATAATGTCACCAAGATGTCTGGAGCGTCTCGAATCGGAGACATCTGGTCGTCTATTTAAATCGCGTGGCTGGACTAAAACTTCCACGGCCGACCACTGCCTTCAAAATGATAACAACAAGGATAATTATAATAATAATTAGAAATTGTGATTCATGGTAAGAATTATCCACGCATCTTGTCGAACGTGTGACGCGAACCAAAGTCGAGCGACCAATATCATCACCGCCATCACCGCCTCCATCATCATCATCACAGCTTTTTCATCTCAGTAGAAGTCGCAATTAGGGTTCTCAAAAGAGGAAATATAATAATATTATATAGAATCACTGTTAAACCAAACATTTGTAACCGTAATAATTAAGCGTAACTAGCGGATGTCTGAGCTACCCACGGAGCCGACACGGGATGATGCGGCATTAATTAGAATATATATCTGCGATGTAAACTTTGAACGAAAACGCCACCGTGCGTGTTTTATTTTTAACCCGCGGCAGCCGCCACCTCGCACAGAGCGAGCGGTTGCGAGTTGCTGCCGCGAATGCAGTTGTTGGTTGCTCCAAGCCGCGCATCCACGGACAACACGGAGCGACAAGGCGACCGCGTTGATTACAGAGCCTTCTGTGTGCGAGTGGATCTGTGCGTGCGGATCTGTCCGTGCGTAGTATCTGTACGTACCCTCTGTCTACACACGTCTGTCCGTCTGCCCCTGTGTGTGCGCGCGCGTGTCGCTCGGGGTGCGAGTTTGTCTGTGGCAATTCCATCACTGGATCCGTCCATCTGCGTGTGCCGTGATTACAAGTCTATTTGTGTGTGTGTCTGTCTGTATCCGCATGTCTGTGTGTTAGTAACCGTGTCCAGCTCGCTGCGCATGTCTCTGTGTGTCCGTCTATCAGTGTTAGTCTGATGGGGAGCGGTGGCGAATATTTCGGTCCATGACCTCCCCCCCCTAGGTCAACTCAGCCTTCAAATGAGGTGCGATGTGTAAACATCGCTATCGTCGAGATGAATGCGGCCGTGGGTGGAGTGAGCCACCCACTCGCCTCGTGTGCCGTTCCGGCCTTCACTCGCCCCAACAGTCTACTCAAGGCCATACGGGCTGATGTGTATGTGTGCGTGCGTGTGTGCGTGCGTGTGTGCGTGTGTGTGCGCGCACGCGTGTGTGTGCGTGTGTGCGCGTGCGTGCATGTGTGTGCACGTGTGCGCGTGTGTGTGCGCGTGTGTCTGCGTATCCATCCGTCTGTCCGTCCGTCCATAAGTCCGTCTCGTTGTCGACGCGTCCAGTGTTCCGTTACACACCGGTGCGACGCGCTACACAGGCCGGATGATGCGTGTTGTGAAGTCGTCCCGAGTTCTGCGGCGACCCCCGACGTGCCCGGAGAGACCCCGGGCTCGAGCCGTCGCGTTCTGCAGAAGCCCTCTTCTCATATCGGCGGCTCAAATGTAATCCTCCTCCTCCTCCTCCTCCCTCCCTCGCGCTCCTCCGCGTGATCGCGAGCCAAGGCCACGGTGAAAGAGAGTAGTGTCTCTAGAGATTCATCAAGGCATTCGAGTGGGGGTCCGATACGCGTGAGGCGGCTCCCATCAGCACCACGGTCTACAAACACCATCATCACCATCACCGTTATTATCATCATCATCATCAGAGTCATCATTTGCAGTCTAACACGAGTTTGTCGTAACTTTAACTGTTTTGTTTAAACAAGTCGGTGTGCGCTGCACTTGCCCGATGCTCGTTAAATATCCAACGTTAAGTAAATACAAACTACATTTAGATGTTCAAAGCCGCAAAAAGTATGATTTTGGACTGTGGATTTAACATAACATAGCAAGCTCGTCCGATTAGACAGCCGCAATGTTTCCAGCGCACATCCTGAAAGCATGATTAGACATTTCTAGCGATGAGTACTCGGCAGGGAACTCTAACGCCACATGCACACAACATCGCCAGAGGAATTATCAGTGGCCCCTCCTGCGCCACACGAGGCACGCAATCAACACAATCAGCAATTACAATCGTCGCTCTAAATACGCGCAAAGTACGATTTAAGTTTTACTCATCAGGCGCGTGCAGCGCGCTAACGAGTTTAATTCGTAATTTAAAAAACAAGTAACTTTAAATTAGTTTAAACTTCGAAAAAAGTGTGGGGTGGAGGCTGCCGCTGTTTGGGCTCGTGAGAAACTGGGATTTTGGAACTAGAAAGAACCCCAACTAGAAAACAAACCCAAGTTCATTGGCGAATGCCCACGCTACGAATGAACAATTTAAACAAATTAATCTGTTTGCCCCACTCTGATCCGTAGCGAGTGGCTGCAGGCCGTGGGCGACTTATCGTGCCTCGGGCCATCACCCCCTCCACCACCACCACATCAACATAAAACACCGCAATGCGTGAGCGACTCGTTCGTGCGCGGGTGAGCGGGCTGGGTAGGGACTCACATGTGCGTGAGGGGTATGGTTCCGTTGGGGCCGGCGTTCTGGTAGTGCTGACTCAGGTGGTGGTGCAGCCTGCTCTGGGCCACCTCGGACACGCCAGCCTCGCTGCTGCCCATGGGCAGGTACATACTGATCATCTCGCGCAGGTCGCCCGGGCACGCCGCGCGTCCACTCCCGCCTCCTCCTCCTCCTCCACCGCCGCCGCCGCCTCCGCCGGGCGCGGATACGGCCGGCGGGGACGGCGTGGCCGCCTCGCTCTTCCCGACGCTCGTGAGCGAAGAGAGTGGAGGTAGCGCCTGGGGCTGGTGCGAGTGCTGCTGCTGCTGCGCTTGATATCCGATCCCAGGAGACGACATCTCCCGCACCTGTTGCGCGTAGCCGGAGCCCGGAGACAGCGTGCGCCCGGGCTGCTGTACGTAAATTCCGCCGACGGGAGACAAAGTGCGCTGCTGCTGCTGTTGCTGCTGCTGGTGCTGCTGCTGATGATGGTGACCGAAGCTCGAAGCAGCGTGAGAAGGAGGCGGCGAGAGCGCTCTGCTGGGCTGCGGCGCGTACGAGACGCTGTAGCCGGCCGCCGCGGCCCCGTTCAGGTAGCCCTGTCCGCCGGGCAGGTACTGCAGGCCGCTCATGTCGTAGCGGTGCAGGCCCTGCAGCTGCGCGGCGCCGTGCGCGGCGCTCAGCGCGGCGTGCTGCGAGTAGGCGTGGGCCAGCGGCTCCTGCTGGAGGCCCGCGGCCGTGTAGGCGCTGCCGTTGGCCCAGCAGCCGTTGAGCTGCGGGTAGGGATCCAGCCGCTGGCCGAGGCCGGCGGCCGCGGCCGCGGCGGCCGCGCTGCCCGGGGGCCCCCCCGAGGCCAGGAGGCCGCCCTGCAGAGAGAACTTATCCTTCTTGAGCAGCGTCTTGGTCTTGCGGCGCGGCCGGTACTTGTAGTCCGGGTGCTCTTTCATGTGCAGCGCGCGCAGCCGCTTCGCCTCGTCGATGAAGGGCCTCTTCTCGGCCTCGGTCAGGAGCTTCCACTCGGCGCCGAGGCGCTTGGAGATCTCCGAGTTGTGCATCTTGGGGTTCTCCTGGGCCATCTTCCTCCGCTGCCCGCGCGACCACACCATGAAGGCGTTCATGGGCCTCTTGACGCGGTCGTCGGGAACCTTCCCGTCGCCGCCCGCGCCGAGGACCCCGCCGGCGCCGCCAGGACCCCCCGACAGCGCCTTGGGCTGTGCCCCCCCCCCGACGGGCTTGAGCTCGGCCTCCAGCATGCTGTACATCTCGGCGCGCTGCTCCCCCTCTCCTCGCCCTCACCGGCGGTAGCAACAGCTGATGATGATGATGGTGTTGGAGATGGTGGTTGCTGCTGCTCACGATGGATGTGATGGAATTGCTGTTGGTCGAGATATCTCACAACAGCAACTGGGGTGGACAATGCAGTCTCGCGTCCGGGGACCGCGAGTTGTTTGTGCAGTTCGTTCAACTCGCAGCGCACCAACTGGGCAGGTAGCGTGCGTGGAGGTGTGGGTCGCGTGGAGGGTACAACACGAGGAGCTCTCGTCACGTCCACCACCCACCCGTGCCTCCCTTTCTCTACTCGGGCCCTGCGCTCCCCCCGCTGGGTTTTATAGTCCACCACACCGCGCCGCCCGCCAATCAGCGCGCGCGCCCCCCTAAGAACACGCCCCCCTCGCCCTGCCGGCCACGCCCACAGTGGCGGGAGAGGCGCGCGGGGCGGGGCGGGCAGGTGCGCGCTCCTCCGCGGGGGGGGGGGGAATGCGCGTGCAAGTGTGGAGGGGCGTTACCTGCCCGCGTGTATGTCGAGGTGTGTGTGTAGGTGTGTGTAGGTGTGTGTGTAGGTGTGTGTGTAGGTGCGTGTGTAGGTGTGTGTGTAGGTGTGTGTAGGTGTGTGTGTAGGTGTGTGCGTAGGTGTGTGTAGGTTCGTGTGCAGGTGTGTGTGTAGGTGTGTGTGTAGGTGTGTGCGTAGGTGTGTGCGGAGGTGTGTGTGTAGGTGCGTGTGTAGGTGTGTGCGTAGGTGTGTGCGTAGGTGTGTGTGCAGGTGTGTGTGGGGAGCGGTATTGTAGCGGTTAGCGCGCTGCGCTAGGGCCAACACCAGTGACGATTACCTGAACCGGTCGTGGGCCTCCCCTAGGTCGGCTCAGCCTCAAATGAGTACCTGGTGCGGTGTGTAGGAAACATCGCCACTGGAGAGACAAAAGCGGCCGGGCGTGGTGCTGGCCACCCACCCCCTCGTGTGTTATCTCGGCCGTCATAGGTGCTCGCTAATAGCACTTGCCCCAACAGTTTGTTAAGGCTTTACGGAGGATCTTTGTCTTTGTGTTTGTGTGTAGGTGTTTGTTTGTAGGTGTGTGTGCAAGTGTCGGGAGGGGTGGTATAGCGGTTAGCGAGCTGCGCTTCGATTTCTGTTCACAACGACCAACATCGGTAACCATTATCTAACCCGAAACCCAGGCCTCCCCTAGGTCGACTCAGCCGCAAATGAGTACCTGCTGCGCTGCGCAAACATCAGCACCGGATAGCCAAAGGCGACCAGGCATGCTGCTGCCCTTCATAGGTGCTGCCCTTCATAGGTGCTGCCCTTCATAGGTGCTGCCCTTCATAGGTGCTGCCCTTCATAGGTGCTGCCCTTCATAGGTGCTGCCCTTCATAGGTGCTGCCCTTCATAGGTGCTGCCCTTCATAGGTGCTGCCCTTCATAGGTGCTGCCCTTCATAGGTGCTGCCCTTCATAGGTGCTGCCCTTCATAGGTGCTGCCCTTCATAGGTGCTGCCCTTCATAGGTGCTGCCCTTCATAGGTGCTGCCCTTCATAGGTGCTGCCCTTCATAGGTGCTGCCCTTCATAGGTGCTGCCCGCTCACAGGACTTGCCCCCAACAGTCTCGTTCAGGCTCCACCGAGTGTCTCTACTTTGTGTATATAGACATATATACACCATATACACACACGCCGTGTATATGGTGTATATAGACATATATACACCATATACACACACGCCGTGTATATGGTGTATATAGACATATATACACCATATACACACACGCCGTGTATATGCCTACTGGCTAGTCGATACTTGCAGCGTGTATACCTACTGGGGACTCGCGCACACACACAGAGAGAACTGCTGCTTGTGTTGAGCGTTTCCTTCCCGCGCACCTTCGACGAGCGCGGGTGGCGCCGCACAGGTCCACATACATATATGTAGATATGCGCATGCATATGTGCGCATTATGTATGCGTGCGTGTGCGCCTTCGCACGACGTCAACGCGTTCGATACCGCGTGGTGATGGCTGAGTCGACGATGTCGGGGAGGCTCAGGACCGCTTTGGATTTTTGTTTTGTTCACCACGGCGAACATCAGTGGCGAGTGATACCAAAACTGGTGCAGTGTGTAAAAGTGGTGGCGCCCAGCACGTTCACAGCTGGACAGGTGATGTCGTGTGTGCAGAGGCAGTGGGCTACATGACCGATCCACTGCTGGATGAAGGCCTTCTCCACGCGGCGATGGTCAGTGGGGTTTTATTGACCATACTTCACCACACGCAGAAAAACCCAAAACAAATATCCTCCGTGTCACCTACGCAGGTTTTTTGGGGCAAGTGCTGTTAGCGAGCATCTTCGTTTCTTCAATGCGGATGCTGACACACGTTTACACGCCGCGTGGCGATGGCTGAGTCGACCTAGGGGAGGCTCAGGACTGGTTCGGATTTTTTTTCACTGATATTAGTCATGAGCGGGAATCGAACTTGGAGTTACAGGTTCGTAGTGCAGCGCGTTGGCCGCTACACGACAGCTCTCTCACACCAACAAAGACAACGACGAAGAACCCCGTGTCGCCTTTCCAGACTGTTGGGGCGAGCACCTTTGAAGGCCAACACGGCGGCACACGAGGGGGTGGGGTGGCCAGCACCACGCCCGGCGGCCTTTTGTCTCCCGAGTGGCGATGTTTACACACCGCACCGGGTACTCATTTGAGGCTGAGTCGACCTAGGGGAGGCACAGGACCGGTTCAAATAATCGTCACTGGTATTGGCCGTGAGCGGGAATCGAACTCGAGTCGCCGGGTTCGTAGCGCAGCGCGCTAACCGCTACACTACCTTTCCCTACCACTCTCTCTCACAAAGATAAAGATCCCCCGTATAGCCTTAACAGACTGTAGGGGCAAGTGCTGTTAGCGAGCATCTATAAAGGCCGGAACGGTATACGAGGGGGTGGGTGGCCACAGCACCACTCCCGACCGCCTTTGTCTCCCCAGTGGCGATGTTTACACACCGCACCAGGTACTCATTTCAGGCTGAGTCGACCTAGGGGAGGCCTAGGACCGGTTCAGATAATGGTGTTGGCCGTGAGCGGGAATCGCACCGGGGTCGCCAGGTTCATAGCGCAGCGCGCTAACCGCTATACTACCGCTCCTCACACACACAAAGCCACACACACACACAGCCATATACACACAGAGCCGCACACACACACAGAGCCACACACACAGTGCACGTGGTGATGAGCGAGTTGGTTGTTCAGTCGCCACGACCACCTCCCAAGTCCACCGAGGCAGACACGTGGCGAGAAGCAGAGACGCTAAACTCCACGGGGCACAAGGGCGGGTCGCAGCATCCAGTCGTCGTTCGCTGTTATGCAGTGGAGGCCCCTTCCACTAGCGGTGGTGAGAGCAATACACTTGCAGGGCTGTACCTCTACCTATTAGTGAAGTAGCAGCGGTAGGCCCAGCTACCACCACCACGCGTCTCCAAACTCCAACAACCAGTCAGCTGGCAGAACTCGATATGTTGTGTGTGGTGGAGCGGTGGCGCAGTTGTTGGATCTATGGGAAGCAGCCAGCCCTGTAATTAGAGGCTACTTTGACCCACACCTCCACTCTGACCAGTCGTCTTGGAACAAGGGGTGGGAGAGACTCCACTTCATCCCACCGCACGCGACTAACCTGCCCGTGGACTAACTTAAGGTGTATCCTTGCTGCTTGTTCCACACTGCTGGGTGAACAGAAAACTACTCAAACTATTTATTTTAATTTTTCCCAGGTAAACCCCACTGAGCTATATTGCTGTTTTTTAGAAGCGACCTGGTCATAAATTGTGGCTCGACGAAGTGGCTTGAAATATATAACAGCCAAACACTCGAAACGCGTCTTTCTATGAATGTGGAAGGGAAACACCGGAGGACCCGGAGAAAAATCCACGCTACCACAGGGACAAAGAGAGACACGCAAACTCCAAATATACAGCAAGCGTCAGGCTCGGGATTGAACTCACGACCTTCTGTATACCAGGCGAGGTAGTTAATATCTCCTAGCCACCGTGGCCCACGTCCCTTGGGTGGTGGTGGTGATTGGGTGGTGGTGGAGAAGGGTGGATTTAAGAAACGTACACGATTGTTTCAGCTGCCGCACCGGGAGATGGGATGGCCTTGGCGGCCTCTGGCGCTCGCCGTCGGCGCTGTTGTGCGGAGTCGCGGGTGTTGAGTCACGTTCCGTCGTCGCTACGAGGCCACATCTGCATATTTACGGTGCCTCTGCCGATGGGGGGGGGGGGGCAATTGATGTGAGAAAACTTTGGTCTCTCTCTCTCGGCGTGGCCGTATCGTTTAAGTTTCGCATGTAGATTGTTATCAGTGTTTAATTCTATCCGGAACAGTCCGGCTGAAGGCAATTACTTTGACGTCCAGCCACATGCCTCTTGCCCTATTTTGCTGTAAACATCTTCGTGAGATTTATTGGAATAGAGGGGATTAAAGCGAATAAAAGATTATTATGAGTAAAGATTATGATGGATATGCCTAACTTGTACTCCAAGTGGTAGTGCCGATCATCCATACTCCGAGCCAGCCTAGCAGCGTTGCTGGAAATACCGAGTGAGCCATGAAGCCCTAATAATGATGATGATTGTTGTTGTGATGTTGTCTCTGTGCGTGTGTGTCAGTCGCAACTGCGGTGGTGTTGAGAGCCATGCTGCCGCACAGATACCGCGCCGTGTTTTTTTGCAATTGCACCACGTCTGCTTTCCGACGTTTCGCTCCACGTGCGAAGGAGCTTGTTCAGGAACTCGATTGGTGGAGCTTCTTGAGAGCTCGCGGTTGTACAGCCGACCGACCGTGGTGAAATCAAGTCCGAGACATCGCGTGGACCGCTCACCGCGGTGAGCGAGGCTTTGGCGGGACCCGCCCTGCCTGCCACGGGACGCTCGCCGCGTCCTCGAGACTGGCGGCAGAGTGGCAGCCAAACACCGCAGATTGCACCCACTGATTCATCTGCGTCGCAGGCCGGGCTCTGTCCATCCCGTAGCCATCTCTCGTGGTCTCGCGCTGGAGCACGATCCATCTCGCTCCTGCACGCGAGCCGATTTCGCTGCTCCATCTCCGTGCTCTGGCGCGTTCACTCGCTTTGACGAGCCTCGGCCGTGCGTGTCGTACGTTCACAGCACATCGCAAGACGAGCACGATTAACAGTTGCACAATCACCTCGGGCACTCACACACACACCAACACTCAACAACACTCAACAACACTCACCAACACACACCAACACTCAACATTCCCGAGCATGTGTTTGTTTGTTTGCATGTTCACCGCAAGTGCGTGCGGTTAATGCAGAACGATGCCTTGCAAAGGGGTTCTGTTTGGTG